AAGACTCAGGAAAACAACCCCACTCAACTGCTTAACACCAAAGAAGAAAAAGCCTTCTAGAACCAACTACTTTGTAAAAATATAATTTTTTTGTATAAAATATAAGTTTTGGCAATATAATTTTAAAGCAATGAGTTTGAATGAAAATTCCCTGCGTGGTTGGGCAATGCTGTGCCCAGAAAATATAGGTTATGAAATGAAAATCTCAGTCCAAGGACTGGGTTACCTCCCTACAGGTCATTAGTCAGAGCGCCTCCAGAAATACCCAAAACAAGACAGGCTATTGTCATTCACTGCTCTTGGCTATCCACCATAGCTAGAAAGATCCAAATGCCAAAACACCACAGACTGACTGCAGGACAAAGAAGTAAATCTGGAATTGATGGAGAAACTTCCCCACTGACTAGCTTCCATAGAGGAAAGATGCTATATCACAGGCTGCTGGGGAAAAAGAGACATCAGTGTTCTAACCCAACACAGGAACTTGCATGCTACAACACCAACCCTAACAAGCAAGATATGCCCATTTACCACATGGAATGGCTGTTAGAGAGGTACACAACTACTCTGTAATTGACTTTAAGGTCTGTGCCACAGGAGGTTATCTGTGTCTGGTGCTATAAACTTGGCCAGAGGTCCATGGCTGAAAAGGTCATAGGCTGAAGATGGGAAGGGGTGGCCCTATATGTTTTTTTGCTAAATGTTCACGCTGTCAAACTGCCTTCTAAATGTTTATGTCCATAGATTTATTCTCCTCTCAACCTCGGCCAGAGAAGCTTCTTTTTGCAATGGACAGCAGTTAACAGAAACCAGCAACTGATCAAAGCACTAAGTGACCGTGAGTGTTCAGCGTAAATATCTTAACTTCCCACCCCTACCCTCAATAAACACCCCAGGGAAAAAAAAAATGGAAAGAATATAAGAGCCAGAGGTTGGGAAAGAATGGTGTGAGATATTTTCTGGACAAGATTAGGTGGTTGCACTAGTCAATTCACAGCAGAAGTGGTTACCTGCACAAGACTTAAACAAGGATCCAGCCAGTCAGCCTTCCAGCATGGATGGGAGAAGGGACTTGTGAGGTTCCACCCCTAGCTGAAGATCTACTGGCAGCTGATGAAGGCTGGGGAGGAAGGAGTTATTTTCTTTCAGGATGTGACCAATGGTAGGTTGCCCTGAGTTCAGTGGATGGCCCCACCCCCACATACAGCCATCACATGGGCCATATAGGGCATCATATGGGTTTATAAAAGGGAGGGGAGAGGAAGAGACAGAAACAAAAAGGGTTAGAGTGCAAGGTAGAAATAAATGTTCAAAGTATGTGTAAGAATGAAAATCTCATGGAATAGACAAAACACTGGTTAAAAACAAAGAAACTAGCAACTAGAGTGGCATACACCTTCAACCCCATCACTCACGATACAGAGGCAGGAAGTTCGAGCCCAGCCTGCTTTATAGCTACGTTCAGCTAGTGACAGCAAGACTCTCTCTTTCTCTCAAAAGAAAAGAAGCAAACCAGCAACTCCCAACTGTTCATCTCAGCTGAGCATCCACAGAAGAAACAAAAACCCTTTACAAACCAAAAGGCAGCCCTGGGACCTTCTAAAACCTGTAGTTGTCACAAAAAAGAACTTGTTGTCAAAAGCTGGTTTAAATTGTAAAAGTAAATTAGGAAGATGGCTAATCTAGTTCAGGATACACTGAGAAGATTTATTCACCACACCATGGTTGTGATGGCCGCAGGGGAAGAAAAAAAAAAAAAAAGCTCTATTTCTGTGCCTCAATTTCCCTATTAAAATAAATAATACACTTTTGTTATTGGGACATTTAACCTAAAAATTAGGAAAAGATATTAGTTCCTTTCCTTTTTCCAGCAACACACTTTCACCAATATAGATGTGAATCCCTCAGATCTTGCGCATACACTCATGATCACTGACACAGACCCAAAGTTATCCCCATAAGAGAAAGCTTAAAGTATGTTAATTAATTAGTAGAAACTTATCAATTAATACCAACAAGAGAAAGCTTTAGGGGAAAAATCATCATGGTTGCTTAACCTATATCTTAAAAACACATTTATACTAAGTAAGTCTCAAAATAGTGAATATAAACAAAAAGAATCCTTTTTATATCATGGAGACATTACCAAAAAGTTAGCTATTCTAATTTCTTCCTAGAACAGTATTTATTTAAAATAGCAATTTAGAATATTTGGAGAGAGTTCAGAAATTAAGAAACTGGTTTTTGTTATTGTTGTTTTTAAGAACATCATTCATTTTTTTTTTTCTACTGGAGGTGTGCCACAATCTCCTACAAAGCTGGAGGAACCTATGGGTGTCTGTCATCACCTTCCTCTGCATGAGTCCTGAGGATGGAGCCATGAAGTCATCGGCTTGGCTGAAGGACCCACTGAGCAGTCGCACTAACCTGAAACTACTCTCTAGCAGCCGGGCTTTGTTTCTGACATTCTTACACTGTTTAAGCAATTTCCTTCAAGTATGTCAGGTTCTGTTTTCAATCACTATTACTAGTCCTTTTAGAAAGATTCTAGAATACTCTGACAACTACTAAACTCTTATAAAAGCAATCATTTGCTCCATTTTGTACTAAATTCCTGCGCTTTTTGCATCTGGTTTTACTTTAATAACAAATTAACACCTCAGAAGGTGGAAATTACTTCATTCTTATGCAAAAGAATTCCAAGTTAACTTTTAGCTGACAACTTTCACTTTAAAATAGCAGTGACCTCAATGAGGAACTGGTCCTCCCAACCCCCAAGAATGGAAAGCCTATATTACTCTTTGCCTTTGAGATTATTAAACACAGTAATTGGAATTAATTGTTGAAGTTTCTCTCTAAACCAGTTATAGTTTCCAGGACTTGGAAAGCAGAACCAGAAGACCCAGGGTCAAATTTTCTGCCATATCCATTGCTAGCCTAGGCTATATGATACACTGTCTCCAAATAAATACATAAATACATATAAGACAGACAGATAGATAAATGGTCTTTCAAGGACAGAGAATGCTTACTCTAAAGTAACATTTACATTTTGAAGGACTCTAAACAAAAGGCAGAGGAAGGAAGGAAGGAAGGAAGGAAGGAAGGAAGGAAGGAAGGAAGGCAGGCCAAAAGTTCTGGAGATTGGCTATTCTATTTCAAATTGACATTTTTATTCATAAAGAAAGGAACCAAGTCCCATTTAATGATACACTGTCTCCAAATAAACAAATACATATATAAATACATATGGATAGATACATACAACATAACACATACATACATACATACATACATACATACATACATACATACATACA